CTGAGGGATCATCTGTTCTGTGCGTCCTTCCAGCTCTAAGGGGTTGCCTGTATTACGCTGCAGAGTAACTCCAATCTCTGCTTCTTTGGTTACAATGACTTCTCCTCGACTTTGTGGTAGCATCTACCTGGGCCTCTTCATATGTTTGTGATTGTATTCGGATGCAAAATCCATAAGAATCTACCCAATCAAGATCCCAAACTTAATAAAACCTTTTGCTAGATGAGGGAAACCCCACCTAGATACCTTTTGGGTGGCAGTGGTGGGGGTGTGGGGTGGGGGGTGGAGGGGAGTCATTGTTCAGCCTATTACAGAAAGTATTTCTGGTAGCAATCAGAAAACTTGCTATGTGCTCCTAAAGGCTAATTTTCCTTGTAATTTACCAAAAGAAAGGAAAACAATATATAAAAATGTACGTTTATTGGATGAATAACCACAGACTTGGGGTAGGGAGGCTAGAGAATCAATTTTGCTATTTTAGAGGATTGAGTACAATTTTCTTCCCTTGATTTAAAAGCTGTGCTCACTTAACATGAGAATCCCCTAGTCAACTAAGAAAGGAAGCCGAGAACCTAGGCCACATCAAAGAATAGGCCAGGAGGATCTAATCTCACATGGAAGTAAGAATGCTGGTTTTGGCCATAAGAGTCATTGGACTAAGACTTTTCATAGACAAGAGGGAAATTCTGTATAGTCATATCGTTTGTGTTTGGGGGAGGGGTGGGGGAACAAGCGTTTGACTTCACTAGACCCTGATGGAATATTAAGACAGCTAATATTGAGTACTTACAAATGCCAAGTTTCACACTAAATTCTTTACTTAATTTAATGTACATCACTTAATTTAATCCTCTGGAAACATAAGAAATGAGAATGATCAGTGCCCACTGTGCAGACCAGGATGCTAAGGCTTAGGGAGGACTCTAAAGCCTGGCTTTATCTATCAGGGGGCGTCATTTCACCTACCGTTGTACCTCAGCTAATTTTTCACTTGGTTCTGTTCAGGTTGAGCTATACGTTTTTGAAAGACAGAGACAAATTTTTGCTCTCAAGTGATCAAGCACCAGACAAGCACGAAATATGTGTAAACGAGCCTCGGATTACGTTTGCTGAATAGTGAAATTTCATTTATCCAAGCACATATGGGCCAGATAATTGTAATTCACAAAATAGTCCCACATCTTGTTGTAGATCTTAAGTCTGGGACTTCTCCATCAAACAATTACTCAGCAAGAGGATGAGGTCATTGTAACCTTCTTGTCATCATCAGTAACTTTAAAGAAGAAGGAAAGAGAAATGGAATAAACAATAAAAGAATGGAATACTTGAAGAACCAATGAAACTAACTAACCACCCACATTCCATGAACAGCTATGGCAACTGGATCCTGAGAAAATAAAAGGAGACTTAAAAATAAAAAAAAGCTAGCACCATCCAAGCATGGTGAACCTCACCACTTGTCTTGTGTGGCATGAAGAAAAAAATTATCTTAAAATATATGCATTGACTGGTTGTCACAATAGGATGATAGAGTGGGTGAAAATACTGTGGTTCCTAAAAGCTGCTCAAGAATTCGCATCCCTTTGGATCATCCTCAGTAGATCCAAAATAACGAGATTTATTACACAGACAAGCACACCTACCTTTATAGAAGTCCCCCAACCAATAATGAGTGTCACATTGTCCTTCCAGCAGAGGCTACAGGGATACATATCTGGGCGAAGACTTATATCATCTCGGGGCACATTGGTGATTCTTTGCTTTGAAGTGATGTCAAAAATCTTCACACCCTGTTGGAAAAAATGTAGCATTAAATATCCTCTACTTGGGACAAGTGAAAGAAAAGAAAATTTATGAACAGCTACTGCCGCCCACCACCGATAACTAGCACTGAGGCTTATTGACTGTTTACGGATAATGGCCGATAGGTGTGCAGAAGAGTATTCCTCTGCTCCACACAAACCCTTGTGCGCACCCAACCAAAAGACAAGCTGTCCCTCTCTCCAGGCAAAGGAGGTTTTCTGAGCGACGACTTGGGTGCCTCAAACCCAACACAAACCTGAAATGTGCGGGGATCAAGGGCATGTGCACAATGATAGGCAACTAACAGTTCTAATTGAATTGTTCTACCCCCAAATAATAGGGTGTACTTCTTAAAGAAAATCTCTGAACCTGAAAAATCACTCTATAAAGGAAACTATACTTGGCATTTTAAAGTTCTCAAAGGGAAACATCTAGGAAGCAGCTAGCTTAAAAATTACCCAAGAGGCCACCGGTTTTGCTTAATCCAGAGAGGTTAAACAAACAAACAAACAAACAAACCCAGACTAGAAAGGCAGGTTCTAGGAGATCTCTATCATCTTACACGGTCTAAAAGGGGCTTATTAAATTATACCTTGATATTCTAAAGGCCCATCAGGTGGCAAAAGCACATTTAAAAAGGAATTCTACAAGTCCCAGCTCATGTGAAGTAAACAAGTGCAGGACCCAGAATTATGATCCATTCTTTTTCCAAAGCCACGCCTTAACATTTGCCTGTGATTACACTGAGAATGAAAGAGAAATCAGTGATAGTCTGCATTTAAAACCACACCCCCAATAAAGTAGCCCTTCAATTATTAAGATGCCTTGGGTATCTTACTCCAGCGTATGCTGGGAATTACTGTATTGCAGAAGCCGCAGGGAATCCCACTTCTTTAACAGTCCAGTTACGGTAGCAACTGCCACTTGTATCTTTGAGCAAAGGCCACCTCAGTGTCAGTGGCACATTCTCCCTTGGTCCCATCCTTATCAGTTGGATCACGCTCCCGGTCCTGCACAAGCATCAGTGACACAAAGATGCCCTGTTACCATGTTGTTGGCCCAAGCGATCAGGTGGTCTCGCCACTTCACACTTCTTATGTTCCCTTCTCCTTCGTGGAGAACAGAAGACTTCCACCTGCTCATCCAAGACCGTTCAAACAGCAGCAACTAGCGGGGGGGGGGGCAGGAGGGGGGCGGAAAACAGACACTTAGAAACTGAGAGTCATCTTCATACCTTCACTACTATTTTGGCCTGTCCAATGCCCAAGTATCACATAACCTGAGCTCAAGACTTTTATATACATTGACAGTAGCATATGATTTGCAATTTAGAATGGATTACCAGTCCATTTTATCTAACACCACACCAAACTCTCCGCCTTCAAGTCAGTGCAGACTCAGCAGCCCTCCAGGGCCACGTAGAGCTGCTCTTCTGGGGCTTTAACTCCTTACAGGAGTAGAAAGCTCTGTCTCTCTTCCAGGGAGTGGCCATTGGTTTCAAATTGCTGATCTTGCGGTTGGCAGCCCAACGCATAACCGCTATGGAATGAGGGCTCCTTATCCAGCACAGGACATGGTTGAAAAATGTATTTGCGTTTTGAAGTGAATACAGTAGCACACCACAAGATGGCACCATCACACCAAAGTTATGGGAACAACAATGCACATTAGGGAATCAAAAAGTTGTGTGCCTTGGAAAGTTCCTCAAATCATTGGTTTCGCGTCCATTCATTCTGTACCTTGGGAAATAAAAACCTAGGACTTTTTTCATTGAAAACACAATACATATTGGTCACAGATTAAACTGCAATAGTTAGAACCAGGTTATGCTTTTCATTAAAAAAGATAAATAATTTAATAATAGTTGTTGAGACAATTCACATCTCAAAGTAAATTTCTTTTAACATTAAATTTCTTTTTAAACTTCATAATAAATATTCTTTGTTATAATAGGAAAAGGTTATAATAAAATTGTCTACTGGATAACGCAATACCATATATAACTGGCCCAACGTTCTAAGCTTAATGTAGGCCTAGTAATTCATGAATTATTAAGGATGTAATTTTTTCCCTAGACATGACCAATTTAAATCCTTTAAGGAAAGGCATTTATACAATATATAGCTTAAGGCAGGCAATCCTGAAATACATGTTTACCTTTTAAAAGTGAGTGCTAATAGATGATTCCATAACAGAATGTTTAAAATTCCTGTCATTATAGGTAATGTCAGCATATTTTGAGTGTGCCCTAACCACTTCCCTCCCCCCCAAAATAAGTAATAAATATGGAAAAAAGAATTCACTCCTATTTATATCTCATATGCTTAAAAAAAATGTTAGGGTCCTCAAGTTTGGTGGAACAGAACAAAAGAAAAACACAATCAAAGAATAACACCACAACGAACTGCCCATGTGTACACGGAAGCTGAGGATAAGCCACTGAAATTGCGGTCCCATTCGAAGATCTCTATTTCCCATGCAAAGGCAGGGTGGCATCTGAGCCTCCACAGTACAAACCGGAGACAGAGACTTTGCTGATCACGCTCAGCTCTTTCTTCCCATCAGATACATTCATTACACTCGCAAAGACTTTTTATCCGACCTTCGCCTCTCCATCCCAGTTCCAAAATAAGACATGACCACCACCAGGCCTTCTTGCCTCCCAATTAAAGACCTTTAGGTCTGTCTTCTGTGAATCAAGCTGTCCCTCTACCATGCAGGCGGAGAACAGAGGGCGAAGGGACCGATAAAGAGGAGGGCACTGCATGAGGCCAAATGCAGAGGGAGGATGAACGTCTGTCTTTGGTGACAGGGCAAGTTGGAAACTCGGGGCTGGGGGAGAGAGCCTGAGAATACAGTTCTGCCATCTGTAAGATCGCACTCCATGGAAGGCAGGTAGTTAGTAAACACTATATAAACATGAGGAATCTGGAAGGTTAAAATGTCCACCTTCCACCTGTGGCCAGCGTTCAATGGAGCCAGAAGTGGGCACAGGGAGCACTCCAAACCATCTGCTGGATGGAAGGAATGGATGGGGGGTGGAGGATGGCACCGGATCCCTTTCCCTCTCCAGTGCCCACCTAGACAGGGACAACACCCACAGTATTAAGAGAGGAAACACCCTGTGCTTCTTCTGGATAATGACATGTCCCAAGTTCTAAAAATGGATATTCTGTAAAATATCTATAGGGCAGGGTAGGGTGGGGAATCAAGAGAAGGAAATAGTTCGAAGGCCTGGGGTTAATCAACAGATTGGCAGTGTGCACATGAAGCGTCCACGGGACCAGGTATCGGGCATCAAAAACCCAGAACAAGAAATCATGTCAACATGAATGGGGCGGAGAGGGTGGAGTAGAAACCCAAAACCAATCTGTAGGTAATTGGATATCCCCTTACAGAAGAGTCGCAGAAAGGAGATGAGCCAGTGTAGCACTGATGAAACATACAGCTTTCCTCTAGTTCTTTCATGCTTCCTCCCTACCACTATTATGATTAATTCTACCTTACAAATCCGGCTAGACCAGAGCATGTACACAGGTACAGAGAAGAGCTGGAAACACAGGGAATCCAGGATAGATAAACCCCTCAGGACCAATAATGAGAGTAGCCATACCAGGAAGGGAAGGGGAAGGTGCTACGAGCAAGGGGAAACCAGTCATAATGATCTACCTATAACCCCCTGCCAGGGGGATGGACAACAGAAAAGTGGGTAAAGGGAGACATTGGTCAGTGCAAGACATGAAAAAATAATAATCATTTATAAATTATCAAGGGTTCATGAGGGAGTGAGGGTGGGGGGTGGAGGGGGGAAAATGAGGAGCTGATACCAAGGGCTCAAGTAGAAAGAAAATGTTTTGAGAATGATGATGCAACAAATGTACAAATGCACTTGACGCATGGTTGGACGTATGGATTGTGATAAGAGTTGTATAAGCCCCCAATAAAATGATTTATTAAACAAACAAACAAAAAAGATTGGTGGTGCAAACCCACCAGTTGGTCTGTGGGAGAAAGGATCTAGCAATCTGCTGTCATAAAGATTAAACTCTAAGAAAATGGATGGGGTTTTACTCTGCCCTATAAGGGAGTCCTTATGGCATAGTGGTTACATGATGGCCTGCGATCTGTATGGTCATCAGTTCAAAACCACCAGCAGCTCCTTGGAAGAAAGACTGGGCTTCTACTCCCATAAACAGTTACAGTCTCCGAAACGCACAGGGGATTGCCGTGAGTTAACCCTGACTCAATGGCAGCTTGTGTTTGCTTATAAGGTCACTGTGTGTCAGAACTGATCAACAGCAGTGAGTTTGCTATAAGAGAAGCTATGTAAGTCCCTAAAGTCCTTCAAATACTTAGCCCTAAAGGTCCATCTGTAAACCTTGGTGGCTGTTGGGTAAATGTTAGACGACTAACTACGGTGGTGGCAGCTGCTCTGAGGGAGCAAGATAAAGATATCTGCTCCCTATATGGGGTCAGAATAGACTTGGAGGTTCTGAGTTTGGGGGATTATGCAGTTATTCCCATTCCCATCCGCTGAACCTCTCCAAATACGATAGTGCCATTCGACTGAACATGGAAGGAGAAGGGGCAAAGTCGTCTACTCTCCATCCATCTGTCCTCATCTTTGGGAATCTCAAGCAGAAACACATTTTCTGGCAAGAATACATAGGAAAGTGCTACTTTAGTAATTTAAGAAAAGCTGCTTTTCTTATAAGCATTCTACACGAATTTACCTACCACAAAACTATCTGCCTGTATTTCACCAACATTTAATAGAATCCATTTCTTTCTTATAGTCATAAAACTGCCTAGAGACCTACTGAGCATGAATGTTCTACAAAGCGTTTTAGGGGTGAGTCATTGAATGAACTACCCTTAAAAGCAGCTAGTTAATTTGTTTGGTTCATCTTCCACATCCTGTAATAGTGAACTGTCATTATCACAAGACCGAGAGCAATTTAAGCTCAATAGGAGCTAAGTACCCAGGAGAGAGAGAGGGAGAGAAGGGAAAACAACAACAACAAAAAAAACACTGTTTCCAAGAGGTCTATTTTTCGTTGAAGAAAGAACTTTAAGGCTTTATTTCCCATAAATCCACAGTCTGGCAGTCAGCACTCTCAGTACTTATATTTCAATGGGAGCCCTCACATCCTCAGCAATATTCTTTACTCACCTACGTTGTGTGCTGATAAATCTAACTGGTACTTTCCTACACGATACAAGGATGCACATCCAACACTGCTCCATGCGTGTAGCAAGATTCCTAAGGGGCTCAAACAAAGTCGCAGATTCTGGTGACTTAAATATTGTCATTACCGTGGCCCACTTTTCCCCGAAGAAAGAAAGGCAGTGTGATTGGCCCCCTTTTAATTACTTTATGATCTTTCAGGCATCTAAATCATTTGGCTCCTTGGGTTTCCTAAATATAGCATCACTTCTTCTTTGGCCCTGAAGGAGGCTGAGGGGTGGCATACATCAATGGGACCATCACAGGAAGGGCTGGGTGGCTTGAGAGAAACACAGAGCCCGCCCAAGATAAAACATCAGATCAAAGAAGATTCTGGGGCTCAAGATAATAAAATAAAAGCACGCAGATAAAATTAAGTAAATAAACATAAGGCCCAGAGGACGAGAATATACCCAAGCAAGACAGCCTCATTAAACACAAGCGAAGGGCACAATGAGGGGGGAGACAAATGGAAACGATCATGAATGGCATAAAGAAAGCTAAAAAAAAAAAAAAGCACCCAAGAAAAATATGAGAAAGCAGGAGATGGTAATCAAAAGGAAGTGAGCAAAAAGCACAGGAGGAGAGAGGCGATGCCCAGGGCTGGGGGTGCCGTTGAGCAATAGACAGGACTCTTTGAATCTTGCTGAGGCCACGAGGAACCCAGTGGAGCTTTGTCTTGCTTTCAGCTTTGGCTCAAAACTACTGCTTAAAATGTAAGGCGGTCTGAAACACCCCCAAGAGGGTCACTATCTGCATCCAAAAGGAATATAAGAGCATGCAGGAAGAAAGAAGGACGGTCCCAAATATATTACTGCTGTACGTTCAGTGGCTATTTAAAAAATAAAAAATATATTCAGTGGTTACTTTTGGGGCAAATGATAATCCTTCAACCTCCTTTCCCTAAAGGTAATTTAACATGTCTAAGAGAAGTTAAATA